TTGGCCTCATAGAATGGTTAAGGAGAATTCCTTCCTCTTTTAATTGTTAAAATTGTTTCAGCAGAACTGATATTAGGTCTTTGTGCATTTGGTAGAATTCAACTGTGAATCCATCTAGTCCTGGACTTTTCTGTGTTGGGAGACTTTTTATTACTGATTCAATCTTGCTACTTGTTATTGATTTCTTTTGGCTTCCTATTCCTTCCTGATTTCAATCTTGAAGAGATTATATGTTTCCAGGATTTATCCATTCCTCTAGGTTTTCCAGTTTGTTAGTATATAATTTTTCATATGTCTCTGATGATCTTTGGTATTACTGTAGTACCAATTATAACATCTCCTTTTCTTCTTCTGATGTTGTTTATTTGGGTCTTCTTTGCTTGGTTAGTCTAGCTAGTGGTTTACCAACTTTGTTTATCTTTTTTAAAGCACAACTTTTCATTTTGCTGCTTTTTAAAAAAATCTTTATTGCATTTACTTCTGTTCTGATCTTTATTATTTCTTTTCCTTTGCTAATTTAGAGTTCGGTTTGTTCTTGCTTTTCTAGTTCCTGGGGATGCACTGTTAGATAGTTAATTTGAAATCTTGCTACTTTTTTGATGAAGCCATTTATTGTTATAAACTTCCCTTTAGCACTGATTTTGCTGTATCCCACAGGTTGTGGTATGTTGTGTTTCCATTATCACTTGTTTCAAGAAATTTTTTTGGTTTTCATATTAATTTCTTTGTTAACTCAGTGGTCACTCAAAAGCGTGTTTAATTTCCATCAATTTTTTTCTTATTATTTTATTTTAGCATTGTGGGGATTTACTACATCAGTAGGGTGTGTGCAGGTGAAGTTTTGACTTCTAGTGGGCCCTCTCTCCCCCGATAGTGGACCTGGTACCCAGTGTGTTGCCATGTGCTCCATATCCCTTCTCCCTTCCTTTCTCCCCTAGAAGTGTCCAGCATCTGCCCATGCCACCCTTGTGTTCATGTGTCCCATGTATTTGTATAGTTTCCAGAGTTCTTCTTGGTTTTGATTTGTAATTTTATTCCATTGTTGTTTGAGGATATACTTTTTATGATTTTGAGTTTTTAATATTTGTTGAGACTTGTTTTGTGGCTTAATATATTGTCTATCATAGAGAATGATCCATGTGCTGATGAAAAGAATATATATTCTGCTCTTGTGGGATAGAATGTTTTATAAATATCTTTTAGGTCCATTTGGTCTAAGCTCCAGTTTAAATCCAATGTTTCTTTGTGAATTTTATGTCCATATCTGTCTAATGCCGAGAGTGGGGTGTTGAAGTCTTGTGTTATTTTTGTATTGTAGTCTATCTCTCTCTTTAGATCAAGGAATATTTGCTTTATGAATCTGGGTGCCACAGTGTTGGGTGCATATATATTTATAATTGTTATAGGCTCTTGCTGGATTGATCCCTTCACCATTGTATAATGACTTTTTTTTTAAGTGTTCTTGACTTAAAGTCAGTTTTATTTGATTTAAGTATAGCTACTCCTGTTCACTTTTGATTTCCATTTGTGTGGAAAATCTTTTCCATCTCTTTATTTTCAATCTATATGTGTTTTTACTGGTAAAGTGAGTTTCTCATAAGCAGCATTTAGTTCCATCATATATATATAAAAAATTCAACCAGGTGCAGTGGCTCAAGCCTGTAATCCCTGCACTTTAGGAGGTCAAGGTGAGAGGATTGCCTGAGTCCAGGTGTTTAAGACCAGGCCTGGGCAACTTGGTGAGACCTCGTCTCTACAATAAATTTTTTTAAATGTAGTCAGGTGTGGTGGTGCATGCCTGTAGTGTCTGCTACTTGGAAGACTGAGGTGGAAGGCTCACCTGAGCCCAGCAGGTCGAGGCTGCAGTGGCTGTGAGTGTGCCACTGCATTTCAGCCTGGGTGACAGAGTAAGACTCTGCCTCAAAAAACAAAAAACAAAACAATTCAGCCATGCCTTATCTTTTAAGTGGGAGAATTTAATCCATTTACATTCAAAGTTATGATTGATATTTGAGTCTTTGTTCCTGATATTTTGTTAATTGTTTTCTGGTTGTTTTGTAAATTCTTTGTTCCTTTCTTTTTCTCTTATTGATTGTTGTTGTAGAATGGTGTATTTCTGTAGTGGTTTCATTTGAGTACTTTCTGTACCTTCTTTGTATAATTACTCTACCAGTGAGTTCTATACTTTCATGTGTTTTAATGATGGCAAATGCTATAAACAGTGTTAGTGCTTTCTGTGATTTCCGTGGAGGGTTAGGTTGTGATTATTAGTTGAGGCTGTGGAGAAGTTGTTCTGGGTACTGAGAAGCCAGGTGGACCAGTCTTCAGGCCTCTATAGTGACAATGACGTGTTGGGCCTTTAGGTAGCTTATGTGGATGCTGGTAGTGGCAGCAGTAGGCCGGGCAAATGAGTGGATTCTTGGATCCCTGGGCAACTGTTATGCTGTGGGTGATGGCAGTAGCAGTGAGGAGATGACCCTCTAGGTTTCAAGTGGTGTGGACTAGTGTTGGTGATGTTATGTTATGGGGTCACCACCCAAAGCCTCATACATGCTGCTTTCAGGTTTTTGTGCTGTCTGTGGCAGCAGTGCCATAGTGCCACATAATGTGGGGAGGGACCATGCCCTTGGACCAGAGCCTGGACATGGAGGCTACACTGCCTTATGGGGTTGTAGTTACCACTTACAGCCCCAGAAAGGCAGCCCTCTAGGTCACCTGCCTCAACCTCCAGGAGCAGCAAGAGTGGGATTGTGGAGTAGGAAGAAGGCTCCTGTTCTCTATGTGTGAACGCAGAGACTGCTCTGCTGGTGGGAAAGGATATCATACTAACGAGCATCAATTATACCAGTTTGTCATTAAAGGGAAGGATAAATATGGTGAGATAGTGGTAGTTGGAAGGAGTTCTGCAGTCTGTCGACGTGTTAACCGTATTAATTTGTTTTAACAGAGAGAAAATGAACTTGACGATATTGGTATAACTATTTTATTGAATGAGCTAGCATTGACTAGTTTCATATTAACAGGAAGCAACTATTATTCTTCTCCTACTGTTGCCCTTCAGATTCATATGACATTCCTCTCTCTCCAAAGACTTTTCTAGTCTCTTTGGTCCATTAGCTCTGTCTCATTTTCAGATATTAAACAATTAGTTCAATCTAAATCAAACTTCTACTTAGCATACAATAAAACCTTTTCCCTTCTCCTAGCTCAATCTAGGCATGATCATTTTTACATGAGCAAAGGGAAAGAGAAGCATGATTGGTTCTTCCATCTTGTTCTTTTACTTCTTTTTTCTTCAACTCATAGTTTATGGATCCTCCATAGGTGGAGGTTGGGTTTGGGAAGAGTTAAGGTGTTAAAGAGTGAGGTGTTAAGGTATGACTCAGCATCAGTATGGTACCCCTTGCTATGCTAGGAGATATAAGCAAAACAGTTTTAAGGATTCTCTTGTCTTATTTTGATTGTGAAACAGCATTGGGGGGACCAATACATTTTTACTGCTCTCTAAGTTATCAGTGGGGGAGGTAAAATAGGGGAGTAGTGAGATGTTATTTTCTCCTTATGGCATATACACCTGTTTTTTGTAAATGGTTCTTAGAGAGTCTCCCTCACTTGGTTTGAGATGGGGAACATCATCCTCCCTCCACCCATCATGGGGAGGACAAAATCAGGAAAATGCATAGTGCTTCCATACCTCTATTCAGAAGAGTCCTCTTTCTGAACCCAGATTAATCTTTAGCCACGTCTCATATACACACAACAGGTAGGTGAAGGGTGAAGAGTTGAAGGACTTGTTTAGGCTGTTTTTTTGCAAGTTTTGCCTTATGAATCTATTATGTCCTCATTAGAATGTATGGGTCCTCACTATTTATTGTACTCAGTTGAGACAACACAAAAATGTAATTTAACATTGGATTGCATAGGAAAGAAAAGATGTAAAAAGGGTAACCCCCAAAACCCAGAATTATCTTTTGGAGGGTGGGTCCCTTGTAGTACAGACTTTCCCAGCTAAGTGTTCTAGGAGGCCTTCAGCATCAGCATACCAGCTAGCAATGTGAGAGGCTGCATTTGGCTTTAGTGAATTTTTTTTGGAGATTCTTTTAATACATTTGCCCATTTCATAATGAGTGATTTATAAGCGCACCTGCCCACACTGTGCTGGCCAAAAGTGGCATGGCACCCATGCCTTACCCTCCTTGTTTCCCTGGATGAAGAAAGCCCTCAAAGGGAAACATTTTGCCAGTGTAGAAGAGGTGAAACAAAAACAGCAGAAGCACGAAAAGGCATCAAAATGGATGACTTCAAAAACCATTTGGTGCTGTGGAAAAAGCATCTCAATAGGTGTATTGAATCAAATGGAGAGAACTTTGAAGATAACTGAAGCTTAAACATGTAAGAATAAATACATAATTTTTTATTAATAAATTCTGTTGTTTTTTTTTGGTTCTCCCTCATATATGATGTAGTGAGATACTTAAGAATGTAGACTTAGTGCATTTTCTGGACCTAAGAGATAAAAGAATACTTATAGTTGTTACCTAAATTAACTTATGGCACTTTGTAACCACTATCAGAATGTTCACATTTGTCTGATACCTGGCATTTAAAAGAAATAAAAATTTTTGATTAAATAAATTATAAATGAAGTAGAGCTAATTATGTATGATAAATAGCAAACTTCATCACAATCATTTTATCCAACTATATTGCCAGAGTTTAGTGGCAACCACTCAAAAATCTCTCCTCTATGTCAATTCTGTTCTTTCAAGAGTAGCTCCTTACCCTTTCTAAATCTAATACAATTTAGGTTTCACTTCTCCATTTGTTCACTCAAACTTTATACCAGTCAACTAAATGAAGTCTTGGTAGCTGAGCAAGTATATATAGAAACATTTTTAGAAAGTGAGTGGGTAAAAAGTAGTAATTAATACTAAGATATTAATTTTGTCTATGACATTTTGGTAAATATAATCTAATTTTTCTTTCTTTTTTTTATTTAGCCAAAACTGGTGAAACTAAGTCACCACATGTAACATTCACTCAAGATGAAATCACTTCCATCAAAACGGATAAAATCAGTTTTCCTGATGTTGTTTCAAGAAACCAGTCATTAAAACCTATCAATATCCAAAATCTCTTTTTTGATCATCATGTAAGAGAAAGAGCGACTACATTTTTCACACCCCCTAAGAATATCTACTGGCACATTTCAGATACTGCTACTGGTTCCATATTTTTTACAAGTTGTTATTCAGCTTCTTGTCGAGTTCTTAGGAATGAAACAAAAAGTTCAAGAAAGTCCAAAACAACCACAAAAAAGGTTTATGCTGATAAAAGGCCAGAAGACATGTTAATTCTTTCTTCAGAGTTCTCCAGACCTTTAAGTTCTCATTACTCAGTTATCACTACCAAACCTAAGGAAGTGTACCCCAAGTACCAACCTTTACCAAAGATCCCAGGCTATGCTTATCAGCACATCTTGAGAGATTTAAGTCCAACAGTGCCATGCCCTGCACCTAGTCCTGCATCTGTTAAACTAGAAAGACAGCGGCCTGAACATTTAAAGAACAGCACTACATTGACACTAAGTGTTACTCAATTTCCAGGTGTCATTCCCTTACCAATGCCAGTTTTACCAAGAAAACCTCAAAGGCAGTCTCTGATAGGTAAATATAATCTGATCATGGGCTATGGAAATGGAATTAAGTAAAGGGAAGAGAAGGCATGCAGGTTAATAGTTTCCCCTCACCCCATTGGGTTTGCAGTATGGAAAGATAGGAACACCTTCTGTCTGTTTGTTTGATACATGGGCCATAGGGCAATAACAGAGATCCTGACCTTACAGATCTATTAAGGTTAAATAGGGTATTCTATTCAGATAGTGGTTATGGGAAACTACAAGAGAATGCAAAGGGTCACAAAAACTAATATAAAGGACCAGGAGAATGAATAATCATTCAGAAGGTGATCTAGATGAACTTTAGAAGTAGAATGCTGATATAAACTTTGATTGTCATGGGTACATTTTCATGGCAATCAAAGTTTATTCAATGATGAACAATTATATTGAAGACATAAAACCTGCAAATGAATTTTCACAAGTATCTAAAACTTGCCCCATTTTTTTCCTAGAATCTCATGTAGCAGAAAATGAAAATGTACAAAGTGTCCCAAAGCAAATCACACCAAGACCATCTGAAGGTAAATGCTCAATTTATGCAATTCTTTTTGAAACTGTATACAAAATTATCAAAAAAGCATTTGTGATTTTTGTGTGTTTGTGTATGGGTATGTAAGTCACACATGTATACCATACATATGTCTCACCTCATTTTCAGTTTCTTAAGTCATTTGCTCAGCAGCAATTTTTTTTGGTTTGTTTGTTTTTTGAGTTGGAGTCTCACTCTGTCACCCAGACTGGAGTGCAGTGGCCGCTCCTGGCCACTGCAGCCTCGACCTGCTGGGCTCTGGCGATCTTTCCGCCTCAGCCTTCTGAGTAGCCAGAATTACAGGCGCATGCTACCACGCCTGGCTGATTTTTTGATTTATTGTAGAGATGAGGTCTCGCTGCCCAGGCGGGTCTTGAACCCGCAGGCTCAGGCAATCCACTCACCTCAGCCTCCCAAAGGCGCGGGATTACCGGCTGAACCACCGAGCCCGGCTAGCAGCAATTTTTAAACTATTGACTGTGAACTAGATATACTGACGTTGGAAATATAAAAACTAATATATTCTTAATCTGGGCAGAGCAAAAAGCTTGCAGTAATATGAGTTAACTATTTATTTATTGTGCCAGGCACTGTTTTAAGTGCTTTGATCTTAGTTACTTAACAGAAACAAATGAAAATTACGTTTGAGGAAAGATTACATAAACCTCCAATTTATACAAAGAGAAAGACAAAATGATTGAAAACCAGCAGAATCAGTGAGCAGCAACAATATTCACTGGAGTATTAGGTATTAGGATGATCAGACATGGATTTTATTTTATTTTTTAAATTATTTTTAATATATATTTTTTATTTTAAAGTTGTGGGGTACAGTTAAGGGTTAGGTATATAAATATTCATTGTGCAGGTACCCTTGTTGATGAGG